CACTTCCCTGCACTCTCACACTGAAGCTGGACAAAAGCAACACCCGCTGCCCAGGGTCCAGCCAGTGGCCCTATAAAATCAGCTGTGTAGGTATAAACCCTCTACTGGCAGACCAGTGCCAGCCCCTGGGTCCCCAGAGCTCTCAGGGACAAGGGACCCACCATGGTGTCCCCAGGACACTGCGCTCCTGCTCCCAGCTGGCCTGCTGAGCTGCAGTGACGGCACACACTGCCCACCCCGGGGTGCGGGGTCCTCTGCTGCACCAGCTGCTAGGAGACCAGCAAGACGCGTGACCTTGCCCTAGGGGCTACGACTTCTCCTGGGAAAAAGATCCACACACTGCAACCACTAAAGATCCAACCATCCATGGTAACCGAATGCGGGCCAGGGCAGCTAAAAGGGAGGAGGGATTGCTACACTGGTGGGGCTTGGGGAGACTCCCAGGAGAGGCAGACAGGGCTGGATGTGAGGACATTGGGGTGAGGGCTCTGGCCAGATGAAAGCACGGAGGCTGCAGAAGATGAGTGGGGAGAGCAAGGAGCACCCCCTACAGTGAGGGCCCATTCAGAGTAATGACCTTCAACCCACATAGACTTCGACTCTCACTCACAGGAAGTTCCCAACGTGCCCAAGCAGAATGATGTTGGGAAAGGAGCAATTCAGGAACACCAACTGCAAAAGTTGTTCAGCTTGGAGGGAAGGGATCTGGGAGTGATCTCAGGGCTTCAGCATGACAGGGGTGCGAAGCGTTGAGCCCAGGAAAACAAGGATGGGAATCACAGTCTGAAACGCTGCCTGGATCAGTGAATTGGATTCAGGGGATGAAAGAGAAAGAGCAACCTCAGGAAATAACCAAGGATAAGCTTCAGGATCTTCAGGAACGAGGGAAGTCGGAAGACGCATACGAGGGTGAGGAGTCTGAGCTAACAAGGCAACGCCCAGATGTGCAGAAGAGAAGCTGAGACCTGGGGTGACCTGCAGAGTCAGCAGGGACAGGGAGCCCGGAGAGAGAGAACCGGGACGGGAGTGCCAACCGCCAAGACCGTGAGTCCCCACTGTCGGGGGCAGAGAAGGACCCGGGCACGTGGGCAGGGAGAACTCAAGAGGGGGCCCCTCACCCCCTACACCCTCAACACTCAGAGCTGGCTTCTCTCCTCCTTCCCTTCCACCCTCCTGCTATATAGCATTTTACTGCATATTGACCAAGAAGCATTTAGTGCTCATTACAGGGAAATTCTATTACTAGACCCTCAGTGCATATGTGGTAAGGTGCTATCTATATCAATCCAATTAATTCATTAGGTAATTAACGGCATTTTCCATCCTCCTCCTCCTAACCAGTATGGGCAGGATTCCTGGGAAGGACAGACTTGCACTCCTGTCCTGAGCCTGGCGTGCCCGGGCTTCCAAGGAAGGCTGCTCCTTTCCCAGGGGAGGAGAGATGCATTCACAGGCCTGCTGAGCTCTTCACAGCCCGCTCCTGCCCTGCAGCAAATGGAGCCTGTGCCCTCAGTAACCGGTGGAGCTGTGGGCGGGTGTAAAAGCCCAGAGCCTGGCCAGCAGCAGGTGTGGAAGAGCCAGGTCATCTCTTAGCCACCCTGGGGCTGGACAGGAGAGGGGGCCACATGGGGCAAGCCCAGGTCTCTATCGCCACAGCAACCGGACTGCCATCTTCGCCTCCCTCCTCACTCCACGCTATGACACTGGTCTGGGTACTTGGGGGCCCTGTGATCTGTGCCAACTGAAAATCCTTCTCCTGTGCCCCTCACATTGCAAAGGGAGACCCGCAAGTGAATAAATAAGCAAACCTGGGCATGCGGGGAACAGAGGACAGAGGGAAGGCTGTGGTCCGGGGCCTTACAGAGAAAGGAGGGTGCATCCTTGCCCCACGGCTCTGAACTCATCTGTGGGTAGGCATATGGGTCCCTGTACCCCAGTGGTGCTAAGAAAGGGCTGAGCACATGGTGAGTGTCAAATACAGGCATCCTGGGAGGCGACTTTTCCATCTGAAGTTCAGTGCAGATCCCACATCCGGGCGTTGGAGCCCTGGGCCTGCGGCCCTGTCTCCCCCACCTGGGTGCCCCGACCGCCCGCCACCGCAGCGCACCTCATTATCAAGCTGGTGAGCGGGGCTCCCGGGGGCCCTGTCTGTAATTAGGGCAGCGCCGAGCCAGGCTGTATTTATAACCCCAGCCCTGCGCAGGCCGCGGAGACCAGCAGCGGTCCCGCTGCAGCGCCTATACCAACATCTATATGTGAACCGATTACAACAATTAATTTAATAGGGATTCCTCCACACAAACAATGTATCATTTTATTAGGAAACTCTATAAATGTCAGTGGTGCAATTCATTTTTATTAATTTTCTAAAATGAAATTAGCAGTGGCGGCAGCGGCGGCAAACAGAAGTTGCATTGCCTCCTCGTTCAGCAGAGTATTGGTGTCATTAATTCCTTAATACCAGGAGGCCAGTTTGCATGGGCTCAGCACTTAACTGCACCAATTAATTTCAATACTGGAGATGGGGGGAGGCGCCGAGCTCCCCTCCACAACTAATTTAGGAAGGTCCTTGAACAACCGCGGCAACTTCTCCTTCTCCTGGGACAGGAAGCTCGCGAGTATAAACACGGAGCGAATATTATAACATGAATAGGAACCCGTTCCTCCCTCTGTGCCTTCGGGAGCCCGAAGCAATCCTGGCAGAGGCCTCCAAAGCCCAAGACTGGTCCTGCAGATGAGCGGGACGGTGGCACCCATGGGTGGCACGGACCCTCACTCACGCAAAGCAGGATCACAGATAGTATCGCTCACAACCCACATAGGACAGGCTTGCAGTGACCTGAACTCTGCCTTCTAAGTGACAAAGGAAAACTGGGATTTCCCGAGGAGCTGAAAGGTCTTCTCACCGTCACACAGCCATGGAGGTCAGCACCTGTGTCTGTCAATACCGGAAGCCACGTGAGTTGTGCATGACCTCAACTGACAGCCACTGCTCGGTGGAAACCCAGATCCTGAGCTGACCAGTGAAGCCCAGCCTTACATGGGCACGTTCCTCTGCACAGAGCTCACAGCGGGTACCTGTGTCCGACAGCCTCACTCCGGCTCAAGAGGGGCTCTTTCCTCCCACTTAGAGTTGAGGAGCACCTTGCAGAGGAGAGGGGAGGGCCTGGAGACGCTGGAGGCTGCTGGAGACAGGAACCCTTGGAACTAGGCCAGGAGTTCTCAAAGGGAGGTCCCAGGCCAGCCACATCCTATGAGGATAATAAATTCTTGGGCCTCACCCCTGGTCCTCTGCATCAGAAACCGGGGAAGGGCTGAGGCTGTAGCTCAGTGGTAGAGCTCTTGCCTGGCATGCGCAAGGCCCTGGGTTCAGTCCTCGATACCCAAGAAAGAAACTGCGGTGCCCCATCCCCCGCGTGTATTCTCACAAGCCTTCCGGATGCCCACTAGAGTTTCTCCTGGAAGACGCCCCCGGGAGAAAGGGGCCGGTGCTGAGCTTCCCACCCTAAGTGCCGGCTGTCCTCCCTGCCCCTCTGCACTCCGCCCACCCTGCTCCGTGGATGAATACCCTTCCCAGTCCCATTCTCACCCTGCTCAGCCGGGGGACTTGCTTTGCACTGGATTTGTGAGTAGTCGTGACATACACAGCCACATCCACGCAGGAAGGGCTTATAACTGTGCCTGCAAGGATCGCCTTGGCCTTTTAAACTCCTGCTGTCTGCTAAGACCTCCTGGGCCTACATTCTCAGGCAAAAGCTTCATGGAGCCGTCCTGACCCTAAACCAAAACCACAGGCCACACACAGGTCCGTGCGCAGGAAATGAACTTTGTTGTTATAAGTCACTCTGTTTAGGGAACATTTCTTACGTAGGATTATCACAGCAAACACTGACTGATACAAACCATTTAATTTTATAGCTAGTGGTGGTATCTCAGCAATCACCTCCCTGTTCTCAACATCCTTCTGGCCTCCAGAATGGAACCTTCCACCCTCATCTAGGGGACGCTACCAGTTAACATTGGAGGCTACTGAAGGAACACCTCTCAGTGCCTTCCAGACTGAGTGAACCCTCCCAAGGTGACATCTTTCCCGGTGGCTCAGGAAGGACAGGCAGGCCAAGCTTATCACCAAGGTGCAGAAGACCCACCTCACTCCCCTTCCCAGCCCTGGAGACGCTGGTGCCTCTTGTCCAGGAGGAACAGCCTGACCCTCCCACCTCCCGGGCTCACCTGGCCCTGTCACCTCTAATAGAAAAGTGGTGGCAATTGGTGAATTGCTGAAGCCCAAGACTCTAACATACCAGACCAAACAAAGACTTAAGGGCTGGAGGCGAAAGAAGAGGCTGCCTTTAAAATAAGCCCTAAATCCCAATCTCACCATGCTTCGTGGGATCATAACATTGCTCGCTCTGGTAGAACACAGGTAGGCTGTCTTTTCGCCAGTTCCCTCTCCTCCCAAGCGGTGGGGGGAGATAAATGTTTGTGGCAGTTAGTGGGTTGAAGGACATTTATTGCATAATAAACTGCAAACTTGGCCACTGCTCCTGATTTGGGGGATTGTCTTGCCAGCCATCAAGGATAACTTGGCTTTCAGTTTGTAAAACAGGTTGAGATAAAAGTGGGCAGTTAAACTGGTTTCACTCTTTGAAAAGTACACTTCTAGAGCATGCCGGTGGCAGGTGGGCACTTTCCCGACATTAAACTCCCCTGATGTGGCTGTCTGGGGGGCCTTCCTAGCATACAGCTGCAGGGTCGGCCCTGACCGTCCTACGAAAGCTCCACCTTGTACCACCGCAGCTGCCCTGTTCTTAATACATCTGATCACAGGCACCACACCAGGCGTGGGCCAGTTAATGTAAGACCCCCGTGTCAGGCCACCAAACACGGCGTGGTACTTCCAACCTGTCGCCTGGAGTGACTGGCCAAACCAGGTAATCCATGAAAACCAATCAACCCATTTACTGTACATAGTTGAAAAACTGCAAGATCTGGGACATTACCTTGTCTTAGGGGATGTGGTTAGCCATTCTTCGTGTTTCTCAAATGTTATTAAATAAGCTGCAATTTCCTGAAACAGAAGAATAAAAAGATAATAACAACAATTAGCTCATGTTGGACCCTGAGAAGTAAGAAAGCTTTGCTGTTTCACAGCTGCCGTCCGCCTTTGTCAGGCTAGGGCTCCATCTCGGCTAAAAAAACGCTCAACTTGCACTATTTTGATTTTCTGAGTCCTTTTCAGCCAACCTGCCATACAGCGACAATCAAAGTGCTGGGTTTCAAAAGAGGAGTCGGTGGCAAGGACAAAAGTACATCTCTGTAGGAGGAAAACATCAGGCACCCTTTCGGATTTTAAATGTCATTAAGTGGAAGGAGCGAGAAGCACACGCCAACAACAGGTCTCCGTGTGTGCAGGGGCGCGACTGGGGAGTTCCATCTGGTTTTCTGGAGCTGGACAGATCTCTCCACTCCGTCACAAGAGATTCTGCATTCTCTCAGCGTGACTCCCAAGCCCCCTGAGCCAAATCACACAAGGATTAAAAACAAATGAAAAGATGGAGCCTCATGCCAGAGAGAGACAGAGAAGGGAGTGAGCCTTTCCCGCTACTGACACTTGATCTGCAAGCAGATCTTCAGAAAAGAGCAATGGCAGCTGAGTCTAAGGCAGAGACAGCAAATGCAGGCACCTGAAGGTAAATTAAATATTTATAAACACAACAACATCGCTGCAGATAGAGTTGCTGACTTATTGATCGTTCCCAGAAAAGGCCAGCAGGTGACATCAGCTAAGTCATTGCCCCAGCTCTGAGGCAGGATGTGGCCCACAACTTCCAGCTCCACACAGATCTGCTAACACGACATTGGCAGGGACCAAAAGTGAAATCCAGGCTGGACTAGCACACGTGGCCCTTGGTCTCCACGCTGATACACACGGGCCGGCCGGTCCAGACCAAGGGAAATGGAGCGGAGGCCTCCCACCCAGCTCTGTCTGCAGCCAAGGCCCCGTGAGATGGGGCGGCCTCTTGGGCTTGGACATAACAGAGCTGACACCCGCAATATGGTGATGCTGTGCGTGGCTTTGAGGGCAAAGGGAGAGACCACTGCCCAGCAGACTAGAGTAGAAAACCGCAAGCACACAACATGTGGCTCAGGTGGGAACTGGCCACCACCACAGGTAGCTGGTGCCTGAGGACCAAGACCCCAAGCCTCCTCGATCCGGAAGCCTGCACCCTACAAGAAACCAGGAAGCATCAACCTGAGGCAAAAATAGAGCAGTCATTGGCGAGTTCCTATTGCCGATTTCAGCTCCAGAAGTCATAGAATAACTCTGATTGGCCCACACGGTGTCCTCTCGCCCCTGAGCCTCCCCTGCTGTATCGACTGCACCAAGTCCCGTCACAGGTTGCCACAACTTTCTCTGGCGAGTGTTACCTAACTACTCAGGACAGGGGTACCCGCCCTCCCTACCCATTCCCGTGGCACCGGCACCTTCCTCCAGTGCACCAGATTCATTACCCTGTGCTCTAACTGCCCGTTCACTCGGAGAGCATCTCTGTTGGACCGTGCAAGGGTAAGGAACGTATAGGCCTTGATGCGCCCTCAGGACGCACCTGTGCTGGGGCTCACGGAGGCACCTGAGGAATGTTTGTTAGATTGTTCCAATGGGTGGGCCAGTGGGTGAGAGCGTGGGTGGGTGGACAGGTGGATGGACGGACAGATAGGAATTAGGAGAAAGAAGAGTGGGCACTGTAGAAATAGATATGCCTTCCTGAGTATGTGTGTGAGCGGTGTCTACGTTCATTACCAAATATGGTTAAGTAAGAGTTTAAACCCAGTGGTTCCCGGGTGAACCCCTGCCCCTTATTTCCTAAATTCTGTGTCACCATGGGAAGGCGACACAGCACCATGCTGAAGGGACACGCACAGGAAGCAAGCAGACCTGGCCTTAATGCCAGCTCTGAAAAGTGTTAGCTGTCCCCACGTGAGCACACTGTCCACGCTCAACTCCCGTGGACCTGGACAACACCACCACCCAGGAAGCCACAAGGAGTAGCGATTCTCTCTGCGCAGGCCACCTGCCCATACTGGCGCACAGTGAAAGGTCACCCCAGCACGACTGTTCCGAACTGCTGTTCATCCTTCCGGTTATCTGCTGGTTTCCCTTTGGTTTCACAAAACCCTCAGAGCAGCATGTGGCCAGCAGCTTCAAGGGCAGACACTGACCCATGAGTGAAGTATGTTGGCTGTTGCACTAAATCTTGGTACGCAGAGGAACAGGCTATGACAAATGGAGCCCCCAGATGCATATTGTTACCCAGAATTGTGAGGTGCTGATCCAGGAGGTAGGGCACAGTAAACCCCAGACTGTTGGATTTATCATTCCGTTCTAAAGACCCTCATGAACATCCTCTGGCCAACTTCCCCCACACCAACCTGGCAGAGCTTCCCACCGCTACTTCCTCTGAGGAGGGAGATGCCCACAGCACCTACCACATGCCAGTCCAGGAACAACACAGCCACGGGGCCAGCTGCTATCAAGCTCAGTCAAGAAGGGGACGGAGACAAATCAGCGTGATGGAGCGGCATCCATGCTGCTACCAGGCCAACCATGCATTGCCCTGTAGCCAGACTCAGAGGGCCATCGTGGGTCTAATGGGCCATGTACAGACAAGCAGAGGCCCAGAGATTGCACTGACCCCTGCTCCGCCCGCACCCAGGTAGCCACAGCTTCTCCCAATCCGTGATGCCTTCCATGCAGGGCCCCTCAGAGGAGCACCCTGCACATTCCAGACCTGCAATCTGAGCAAAGGCAACTAACTCAACACCCACAGCCTGGTCCCACTTCTCACTGCTCCCACTGACCGGACTGGACCACCAGGGAAGGACCGAGCATACCTGGGCCACCTGTCTAAGCCTAGATCCATTCTGTCCAATCCTCTCCACCACTGCCCTTACCAGAGTTTGGCCCCGCTCACCAGACAGGCAGGCAGGCAGGCAGGCAGGCAGACAGACAGACAGAAAGGCGCCAGACCCTGCCTTCTCAAAGCTTAGGCTGGAGATGGGGAGATGGATATACTGAAGCCAAAGGACCAAACACACAGGCTACTAGATGCTCACTGGTGTGGACTAGGTAGGGACCATCGTGGTTCTGAGTCAGGAGGGTCAGCTGGGCTAGTGAGGGGTGACCGGAAGAAGAGAAGGTCATCATAGTCGTGCCAACATGGCTGGAGTCTGTCCCAGGCCACAGACTGCTCTGTGCCTCTGTGCCGGGGACCTCACTCATTCCTCGTGACCAACTATGAAGTGGGACCTGGGCCTGATTCACAGGTGAGGAAGCTGTGGCACAGGGCAGGGAAGTGACTTGCCCAAAGTCCCATGGCTAAATACCTGGAGACCCGGAGCCTAGGTCCATATGGAATGGGTCTGGAGCCCACACTCTGAGCTGCTGGGCTGAATTCCTTAAAGAACAGCCAGGATGTGCTGGATGGAGAGTGGAGGGAAAGCATGGGGCCTTCCCAGCCTAGGCTGGCAGCCTCCTGCTCCCCTCTGACTCTGTCACCTCCAGCCCCACCTCCCTGTGCAGACCAGGAGGGATCCCCAAGGGCTCTGGGAGTCAGCAGGATCGAGCTCATTCACACTGCAAACCCCAGCCTGCGCATGTGGCCATCTGCACCAGCGACCGACAGAGTTCGGTGTCCACAAAGCTGTGCTTACAACGCCTTCCGGGGCAGAGGGAAACACCCACACAGAAGGGAGATTCAGCTGTAAGAAGAAGCATTTCCAGCCTGACTGTCTGGCCGGCCCCTCCTCCCTCAAGCACAGCAAGCCTAGGGCCCAAGAAGAGCATAAGGAAAACATCTGGTCCAGCTTCTGTTATGGAGAAAGAAACTGAGGCACGGAGAAGGGCAAGGTCTTGCCAATTGGTACCCAGAGCACACCCACTCTTTCCTGCCCATTAACCAGCTGGCAGAATCCAGCCTGGGATTCAAAGATCCACAGGAAGCCCAAGGAAGAAGAGAGCAGGCCTCAAGGAAATGGAAACGGGCATGAAACAAGAACACATCACTGCTCACCAGAGCCCAAGGACAGAAGAAACCCAAGCATCCCTAGGTGGATAAATGGATAAGTAAATTGAGTTTGCAAATGGGCTACCACACCCAGGCTCACAGCAGCACAACTCAAAACAGCAAAAGCTTGCAAGTGACCTACATGTCCATCAACAGATGAATGGAGGGTAAATGTGGTATTACACACAGTGGAGTACTACTCTGCCATAAAGAAGGATGACCTTGAGTCACTTGTAGGAAAATGGATGCACCTTGAGACCATAAAGTTAAGTGAAATAAATCAGACACACAGCTCAAATATCATATGGTTTCTTTTAGATGAGAAACCCAAAATATAAATAAAGAGCAAAATAAAAAGATAGATTGTAGGAAATAGGGAGATCTCTTGCAAAAGGGAAGGGGAACAATGGAGAAAGGAGAGGGGAAGGGGATTAAAAGAAAGAATCGAGATGCATTCTGCACCTTATCAGTTCCCATGAGGAATATAATCATTACGTACTGCAAGCATGTATTAATAAGCAATAAAAATTGGGCGAGGAGAAGTACTGAGTGCTACGTAGTGCTACAGCACCATAAGTCCTAAAAACATGGTGCTAAGCGAACGAGGCCAGGCCCCACCTGCCACACAGACGTGATATCAGTTCAATAAGTGTCTGGATTGGCCGAGCCACGGGGCAAGAGTGTCAGTTGGCAGCTGCAGGTGGGAGGAACCGGGGCAGGTAATGAATGCCTCAGGGGGTGGGGCTTCCTCCTAGGGTGATAAATGTGGGGCCCAAACAGTAGTGGTGGCTGCACAGCACTGAACTAAATGCATTCATCTGCATTTCATCACAATTATTTAAAAGGAAAAGAGAAGAAGGTGCAGGAGGCACCCACCAGGTGTGGCCCTGGGGTGGGGCGATGACAGCCTACCCGGCCTCGGCAGCTGGACCTGAACCCAGAGGGCCACGCTGACTTCCGCCTCCTCCCTGGCTCCTGAGCAGCCTTGTCTCCCCGGATCCTA